GCATTATGCAAATATTTTCACATAGTGAGGTAAATATGTGGGGGCGTGTTAGAATGAGCCGTTTTAGGGGGGTGTGGCAGAGTCTTAACTTTGATAAAGAATATCTCTTTGGTTTTGAGACTTTAGTCTTTGCAACTTCAGGGATCTTATCTATGCACAATCAGCTTGTAACACTCCAAAGAGAAAGGAAAACTTGAAATCGCATCATATGACCACTTTAAGTCATTTCATTGTTGATTCAGTGATGTCATCATCCAGCTCAGTTCAGTTCTCTTCCAATAGTGTCTGTGCTCTCAAGTCAACAATATTGCCAGAAATTGTGTCCCCAACTAAGCAAGCCAAAGGCGACAGTGGCAAGGAACCAAAACTCCATCTGTGACAGAAAATTAGAAAAAAAACATTGGGAGAAACTAGGCTCAGTTGGGAGGCCAGTAATCCTCTGGCCAGACTAAACCAGCATGGTGTTGTTTAATTCCAGGCTGCAACACAAGTCATATTGAGCAGTGGACTCGTCTGGTTCTCGAGGTCTTGTGCCGATGGACGACGAGGTTTTCACTGGGAATCTGTCTCTAGGGATCGTCTAGTTGCATCCACTTACCTCTCAATATGTTTGTTCAGTGCCAAGTTCTGCTTGCTCGTGAATCATCTCATTATAACAAAGTGTAGATGTGATGCAGTTAAGAGATTAATTGTGCAGTGTAGAGCTTCATTGATTATAACAGAACTTTGTGAGATCGCGATGAAGAGCTTGAGTTGGCTAAGAGTATTGATGGGGCAGGATGAATCCTGACGGGTTGGATGACTGAATCCTAATGTACCGTCTTGACTGGCAAGGATCCTGTATAAATTACGCCTTGCTGTACATTCAATACTCCAAGGGATGGTGCTTGTATCCATTCTAAGATTATCAGTGGGGTAGTGCCAGAACAGGTCTAAGGTGGATTCAGGTACATCTGTTACTATATGTATATGTGAGGCTCTCTGAGATGATTGAGCCTTCTTGCCTCTTCAGCTGTGGTCATGCTCTGGAGGCAGTTATTAACATAGAAACTCTTTAGTATGGTGAATAATAATCACCTGGCTCTGTACTGTTAGGAACATGCTTCCATATAGGAAGCAAAGCAGGTGCTGCAAGTGGTGCCACAAGGGAGCACCTGCCACTGATAGGTATTCCCTTCTCGTTTCCCTATCCCTCCAGATAAATCAAAGAATAGGCTTGTCATGCTCAAAGTCGGAGTTGATGGAACATTCCTTTAATATCCCCACTCATAGCCACCAAATATTCTCTGAATCTTATCTGGACATGGCTTGTCTTAATGTTCCCAAAGAAGCAGTCATGCCAAACCTTTAGAGACCATAATCGCTTAACAGCTTACTCTGCTGAAATCAAGAAAATGGTTAAGGAAGGGTAAGAAAGCTGAATCCAGACAAAGTACCACAGAGATAAGAGATTTGGTTCATTCCACATTAGGGCTGGGTTTTGACACAAATTTCATGATTCAATTCGATTCGATTCTCATTCACAAGCTTGCGATTCAATTTTATTTGATTCAGTATCGATTATTTTGGATATGCTGTATATCAGGTACAGTACATGCCAAATTTTCTCAAGGAAAAAAAAACTAATGCTGCAAAATATACATGAGAGTTAGTTGGTACTACATTACTATAATATTGAAGGTTAAATTTGACTGATTTTTTAAAATTACATTTATTGAAGTTTTTAAAAGAATAAAGTAATATAATATAATAATATAAATTGCATAATATTTCTACTTCAATTTGTTTAGTTTTTTTAATATAAACATAATGGTGGCTGTCATAAAAACTTAATGAATTTATTCAAACATAAATTAAACATTGAAAAACAGTAAAATTTAGAATGAATATGTTACATGGTGCATATATTTAGCAAAATGCCCCTCTCTTTGTCTGACTGAGTTTAACCATAACCATTAGGCCACGACTTTCCCTTTACAAGACGTTATATTGATGTTTTTGCGCAGCTGAAACACTGATTGAGCAATTACATGAGACAGGATACGGATTGTAAAGTTGTACTCTTTCTTTTATCTTGCCTTCGGATGCTTAGTCATGTTTATTTTGTTTTGAAACTGGTATTAATGTGGAGGAGATAATAGTTCACGTGCGCTACGTGCTGTTGAACCGAGGCGCTACAGCGATCTGTCACTCCACATTAAACAGCTCCAAAACGGCATTTATTGTTTGAATACTGCAATACAATGGATAGAATTTGAAATCTGAGACTTTGTTTCATATTAAAAGTACCAAAGCACATTGCTTATTGCAATATATTGGATGGGAAGTCGCCTTCAGTGTTCCGTCCATTAACTGAAACACAGGCTAGACTAATCGATTTTTGGGATTTAAGAATCTATATTGTTTCGTAAAAATGAGAATTGATTAATATCGAGATATCTATTTTTTTACCCAGCCCTATTCCACATCATATAGTCACCCATAAGGGAAAAAAAGACTGGTCTAAACCTGAATGACTCCTTGTTACCTGGCCCCGAACTCTCTCATGGACATCCTGATAAGTCCTCTTAAGAGAAAGCATTGAGAGCACCCAAAAGTTCAAAGATGCTCCACTTTATGCAAATATCAAGCAAAAAACATGAAGCAGATAATGACATCTGTGACAAGTATTTAAAATATGCTATTTCTGCTGGATTAAGTGCTTAAATCATATTGTTTACACACAGGACACTTTACAGTTGTTAATGTATTGCAGTTTGGTTGTGTATTTCATTGTGAGTTGGCTGGCTTTGTTTATTAAGTTTATTAAAATGGCTCTGTATCTTTACGTTGGGCTTTCAGAAACAATGTTTGCAATTTTTCCAACTGTATGTATGATGATTATACTGACCGTGAGCTGAAAAAACATAAATTAAACACTTGTTATAGGCAACCTAAAGCTGGGGCATTGTAGCCTTTTTAGCGGCTGTGAGCAGAGTTCTGCTGCTGTAGTGGACATTCACCATCAGTGTGCAATCAGAATGCAGCATACCTAAAGTGAGCCTGAGAACAAAACAGACCAGCCTCGTGACATGTAAGAAAATACAGAAACCATTCTTTCATTGTTCTAGTTTCTGTTATTTGAGAGACTTTTCAACTGTTGGCGGTGCTAATTTCTCATTGGCTTAGCCTGCTGGGATGACACTGATGCAGAAAAGATCTGCTGAGGATGAAGAGGATTCAGCAGGAGCTTGGTTGGTCCATGGGGTGTCCCAAACAAACTGGACTGGTCAGCACCAGTCAGCAGGAGTGGGTGAACTTTCTCAAAAGGGTGGAATAGTGCTTATAGGGTGGAATGGTGCGTATACTTGTTCACGGGTGCCTCCATAGGGTATGACTGTTGTGCCAATCTTAGATGCTCAGCTGTAAAGGCTTGATTTATGTGATAAGTCTTGTGGGGCTTATGCCACTGCAGGTATACCAAATGAAACTTGGTATAGAATAGAACCTTGCAGTTTTGACACATCTCAATGCATTGTTCTGAGGGATAGTTCCTCCTCCTCTCCTTTCAGACTAAGCTTCTGAACTGCAGCAAATAAAAACTTGACCGAGGAACATCTAAGTGTCCAAGGTGGGGTTCTTGTGTATCAACACAACTTTTAGCAAAACATGGATATGTCCCAGGTCTTTCTAGGTATAAGGTTGTGGAACTTGGAAGTGGTGAAGTATCTTTGACTGTCTTGTTATTGATGTCCTGGCATATTAGCATATGCTTACAATTTTTGCAGGACTTCTTCAGATTACACTGTGCAGCTGTTACTTTCCAACTGCACTTGTTTATCTGAATTACCTGTTCAGCCGTGAGCTGCAGAAGAGTAAGGGGGTTTTAACACTAGCACTTATGAACTTATTTAGAACAAATTCAATCAGCGTTATTATCGTATTGGCCCGAATATAAGACGACCCTGATTATAAGACGACCCCCCTTTTTCCAGATGTAGCTTTTGGAAAAAGGCTTTTTAAAAGCCAAATCTTGTTTTTTCTCAGTAAAACACATTTTGTCTTCAATTATAATTACTTCCTATTTTAATTTTTGTTTTGAAAGTATGGTAAAAACTGGTCAAATGTACCAACAATCACATTAAAAAAATATACACTTTAAAAAAACAAAAAAACAAAACAGGTAGCCCATCTTAATTAGGACATTTCGGCTATCCATCTAATAGTAGCCTACCAAAATCTTATTAAGAGTAGAAGTAAAATCTTACTGTAGTCTTCAAATCTGGGTACTGTCTTATGTTTTAAAATCACAAAGGGAGTTTGGTCCCGTCAGGCTAACATGACAGTCACGACTCATGCAGCTGTAAGCTTTTCTTTTTCTTTACACGCATTACATTACGTATTTCATGGCACACTCGTTTTATGCATATTTGGCGCCACCTATTGTTGTGGGTATATTATTGACATGTCAAAGTCTAGACCCTGAATATAAGACGACCGCGTTTTTTCAGATGTATTTCCAAGAAAAAACATCGTCTTATATTCGGGTCAATACGGTATGTGCGTTATTAGGCGCATATCCCAAGTGTTTAACCCTCTGGGGTCCGAGGGTGTTTTGGGGCCCTGGAGAAGTTTTGACATGCCCTGACATTTATGCTTTTTTCAGTTGATTATAAACATATAAATGGCTAAAGTCTGATAACACTGTAATCAGCAAAACCTGAGCTACAATAATATGTGAACAGCATGTATATACATGATTGTGTTTTTGACAAAGCAATGTTTATGCATGGGAAGTGAAAAACTAAAAAAATGTAAATCACTTGAATAAGGCCATAAAACACATACAGAACATTTGTTCACAAGACTTTTGAGAACTGGATCTTGTAGACTAGAGACTTTGTAGACTTTTGCTTCAAAATTATGTGAAAATTATCCTGTTCACTCGTTCACAGAAAACAAATTAATTTAAAGTCACTTTTTGTATTGAAGGCGTGAATGATCATGAATAATAGTGTGATTCACACCTGAGAAGACAAAGGCCTACATAATGAGCTGCATAATGAGCCTATCAGTCAGGTGTGTGACTAAGAGGGATTTGCTACAAGAAAGAAAGGTTAAAGTTTTGGCTGTTAGTCCATTAACAGCCAAAACTTTAACCTAAAATCACCCGATTGGAAGCATTCAGTCGCATAGGATATATGTATGTAAATTAATTGGTACTTCAGATGTTATCTGTAATGTTTAAATCTTTTCGGGCAGAATAGGAGATATATTGAAATCGATAAGGTGGATGTGTCTGCCGCACACTGCTGAGGGAACTAATCCAACACACAATATATTTCTTTATGTACGTAATTATGCTAGAAATATTAAACATGAACATACATCTGGTATTAGCATCAGAAATTGATTTGTCGTATAGCGGCTTTGTGCTTCAGGCATCCCGAGTTCGAGTCCCGGCTTGCAGACCTTTTCTGATCCCATCCCCCCTTTCTCTCCCACCTCACTTCCTGTCTGAAATACTGTTCTATCCTAATAAAGGCAAAAATGCCAAAAAAGAAAAAAAGAAAAGAAAGAAATTGTTTTAAATATATAATACGTCTTACAATACAAGCCTCTGTTATGTTGCACTATACTGTATTAAAATCAAAGGTTACCATGCATCATCTTGAAAATAAAGTGTTGTGTCTAAGTCCGTACTGTATGCAGTCAGCCTTATTTCTCTCAATGATGTTATGATGCGTGTATTTTATTTTTTGATTGAGCAACATCTATTTAAGACATTGCAAATTCTAGTATATGTTATATTAATTATTAATTTAACCAGCATATATAAATCATTAACTGATTCACAGTGCATGCTGTTAATGAAATCGTTGATAAATTTGCAGTTAAGCTACTGTGTATATATAAATATATATATATATATATATATATATATATATATATAACAACATATACATAAACCGTGAATAACTGTACAAGACGAATTAAGGTATGTGTGCATACAAAGCATAAATCGTTATTCAGATTTCAGAATGGGCACTTCGTCATTTGTAATACATATGCCGAGAATCTCGTCCATCCGCTGTTCACCTGACGTTCGCTACTGTAATGTATATGAACATAACTTTTTAATAAGCAGGGAAATTCCCGACGTTAAACACACAAACTTTCACATGCTTAGGATGTTTGTGTTGTACAAATATGCAGGGAGAGTTAAGACTTAAAATGCTGACTCATTAGGTGACGTTTTCTTATTAAAATTGTACAATTTCCTATTAAACAATGTATGGAAATACTAGGGAATGCCAATATGGTGGTGCAGTGGCTTCACGTTTATGACTTCATGAGCAATACAGTTCTCGATTCTAGATAAAAGCTTCAGCAATTATCGTGATGTGAAAATTTGATACCATCACATAACCTAATATACGATTTAAATTAGGACTATAAATAATTACATAATTAAAAACAGTTAGAAGCAGAAATATTTAAAAACCTTCTGTAACTTTTGTATTCTCCTTATAATATCCCCTAAAACTGAAATTAGCGAAATCATGATAATTGTACCAGTTGAAATATAACATACAGGTATTTTTCCAGAACCTAGTCACGAGATTACAGGTTCGCATTGTTTTGTATTTCCTGTGCGATTTGATGTAAATGAGGAATACAGAATCCTATTCTTGCAGTATTTTTACATACACAAGAAATGCGCTCTTCATTCATCTCACTTCGCAATAAAAATATTTAAAAAAAATCAGTGGCGTAGTCCAGTGTTAGTTTAAATATTAACCTAGATAAATATGCGCTATTAGGTGCATATCCAAGTGTTTGTGTGGAAAGCGAGCTTAATTCGGGACATAGAGGTGTTGGCGCGATCACTTGCATTTTTTTTCCCTTATAACAGTGGAAACAATTTAAAATACACTGTCATTTTTACTCATACAGATCAGAGTAGTATATCATTCGAAAACTGTAAAGGGTCTACTTTTATTTGTGTACACTCACAATAACAAAACTTTGCTTTTGTAAAATAAAGAAAACAAACAGGATGTGCTTTTTGCCATCTCGTTCGCCATAAACTGGAGCGCGTCACAACAAATGAACCGAAACTCAGCATGTATAGGCTACTTTGCCTCACCGCTATCATTACACCTAAGAAATATATCTATAGAAAGTTTGAAATTTCTACTTTAAAATTAAGCAATTCAAATCGAAAACAAAAACTGTATCATGTAATCTATATTAAACATTTATTAAAGGTGCTCTAATGACAGAGATGGGGAGTCGGTGTCAGCTGCAAAGATGAAGCCGACGCTGACTCACCATCTTTGCAATAGAAAACACTAGTTTATTAATAAATAATAAAAATATCTCCTTACTATTTCTTCCCAATACATTGTCATTATTTTTGCCGGTGCTTCGCGGCAAGCTTTGTGTGAACTTGAATATAGAATAGGCTAGCTAGCCTATATATTAAAGGCTCATAATAGTGTAGTATCTAAGTAATTACTACTACTAGTCAACTAGTAAAATCTTTAGTTGGGGGCAGCCCTAGTTTTAAGCCAGTCCTTTTTTCCTTTCCTGTAACTCTTCCAGCTGCACTCGCTCGCTGGCTCGCTCGCTACTGCTGGTGAGGACACTAAACATTGTGTGAGCAAGTCTTGACAATCACGGTAGCATGGTCTTGTTGTTTCCACCAGCGCAGCACATCTTTTCCATCACCTTAAAGGGATAGTTCACCCAAAAATGAAAATTAGCATGTGTTTTACTCACCCCAGAGGCATCCTAGGTGTATATGACTTTCTTCTTTCAGATGAATCCAGTCAGTTATATAAAAAATTGTCCTGGCTATTCCAAGCTCTATCATTGCAGTCTGCAGGTGTTGCAGTTGAACAGTCCACAAGTCATCAAATAAATCTTGCACATTCATAATAAAACGTGCCGCAGACGGCTCCGGGGGATGAATAAAGGCCCCCTGTAGCGAATCCATGTATTTTTTTTAAAGAAAAATATCCATATTTCAAACGTAATAAACACTTTTCTCTCACTTCCGCTGACTGTCATACTCTGAAGCAGTTCCGGCGGATGACGTGACTAACCCTTTAATTGATGGATGACTAAAATATAATAAGGAGATATGGAAGAAAAATTATAGCAAATGTCTTTGAAACAAAAAAGCATGTTGAATTGCACTGATTGCAACTAAAAAAATAACGCATTGCATTAACAGTGCTTGCATTTTATTGCCTTGTATTTTCAGGGCTTGCATTTTTAGGGTCTAAAATTTAACAGTTTATTTAAGCTGTGAATATTTCATATTAAAACATTTCACACACACTTTCATAATTAAAAATTCAGTAATTCATATTCACTTTCCAGAGTTCCCTTCCGAAACATTCAATCGGTTTAAAAATACGATGTATAATATAATATAGCAATTTTCAGTCCATTTTATTTCACTTTACAAATTCGCTTCCACAAATTCAGTGGTTCAAATTCGGCAGAAAATTCAGCATTGCACATCTGGGAACTGTAGGAATAGCAGTAGAGTACCTTTGCGCGATCTTCATCTGCTGTTAGTCGCTCACCAGCAGGTGGCGCAAGCGGGTTTTGATGGAGACCAAAGCAACAGGCAACAGGTAGAGCAAGGCATTCATTCACAGAAACTGATTTGCAGAAATAGAGCAAGCGGTAGAAGTTATGATTATCAGGGCCAGTATGTATGTATGTGATATGTGGATAAGCTTAAGACTCAAAAGCTGTGTTTACGTTTAATTCAGCATCTTCGCGGTTACTCGTTTCCCTGTGAAGCCACATGTCAGCAGCTTTCTCTAGCAAAGGAGCTTATAATGTTTTTGTTTTTTTACCCGACGCTGATATACTAACATTACATCTAAGACTAATATTGTTTTCGTTTGCTTAGTTTCCTTAACTTTATATCATGGCTTGTGTGATGCTGAGTTTTAATACTGGGGTTTCCCTCATACGTCACACCCCAGGATTTCCCAACGACGCTTAACACGCCTCAATGAACTAATAGAGTGATATAAACAAGACATCAGATCTAAGTATACACCGTACTGATGATGCAAAGTACAGGCAAGCAGATGAACTTAGAATATTAACACAAACCACAAATTTTCACCCAAGAATTTTTCTCCCATAGAAAACCAAGTGCAGAAAAGTAAGTTTTAGGTTTGATATTCGCTGCATTCGCAAGTCCAATAATTCATTCAGTTTAATGTTTACAGAGCTATAGTAAATGCCTAGAGGACAAACTGACTAAATATATATTGCCAGTATCTCACCTTAGACCAGTGGTTCCCAAACTATTTCGGCCGGGCCCCCCTTTTGTAGAGAAAAATATTTTCTCTTATGAATATACATGCACCCTCTCAGACATGATCTTGATTGCAAAATTATAAATATGATTTGAAATATTGTGATTAACAGAGTACTACTTAACTAGTCTACTTGCCGTCTTAACTTGTTCTGCTCCTAACCCTAACCCTAAATCAATAAAAAAAATCGGTAAATGCATATAATTACTTGTGTAATTGGGGTGTTAGTACTTGAGTAATTTTACTTGACTACTTAAAGTATTATTTTGGGAATTTGTACTTTACTCAAGTACAATTTAAAACTGGCTACTTGTACTTTTACTCAATTACATTTCAGAAGAAAAAGCAGTGTAAAGCTTCTTACTCTTTAGCCTACCCCCACGTTTTTTGTCTGTGTTTGATATAGTTGTTTATGTAGTATGTTATGTGAATGCACAAGATTTGGTGCAAATAAAGTCATTAAGATGAGAAATACAATAGAAATCCAAATAGTGTTTTGGTGTGAGATGTATGTGACTTGCTTTCAAAGACTTTTAGTCCATATAATGCAAGTATACAGGAACAATTCAAAACCACGCAAAATGAACGATGGTAAAGTTTAAAATGTTTGTATTTTTTTATTACACATGCCTACCACTTGAAAGACATTGATTCATCAACTGAGGTTGTATGGATTACTCTTATGTTCACTTTGTGTAGTTTTTGAAGTTTTATCTTTGGACATCCCATACACTTGCATTATGGGCAGGGAGAGAGATGGATTATTTTTTCCAAACATTTTTGTATTCATCTGAAGTCAGTCAGTCATATACATATGGGATGGCAAGGGTGAAAAGTGTTGTGTATCCCTTTAAGGGCTGTGTATTTTGTGTTCCACTATGCTGCAGTTTAATCTTTGTTGTTGCACTAGATGGATGTTTTTTTACCTTTGCCCATTGTGTTTATTGGTTTGTTTATTTATTGCTTCTAAAAAGTATTTACTTCTACTTTTTCAATACTTAAGTACAATTTAAATTTGTACTTTTTTACTTTTAATCAAGCATGTTTTGGGCCAGATACTTGTACTTTTAATTGAATAAAATTTTTACTGAGTATCTGCACGTTCACTTAAGTATAATTTCTGAGTACTTTTTACACTCCTTTGTGTAAATAAATACAACTCCTCTAAATACTAAACACTAACAAATACCCCTTTCTAAATAAACACAAGTGTGGACTCATACAAAAGGTTGCACATTGAAAAAACACATTGAGGTTGATTAGTCAAACCGTTCTCAAATAACTTGAGAATGACTTCAACAAATTGCACACCAAAGTGGACTAGAGGCTATCCACCTTATTATTCAATGCGGCAGTAAGCTTTTTTTTCTGAGCAAGTCATCCGATTTATTAGCCGCTATAGGGAAATAACGAGAAGAATATCAAAAGTGTAGTAAACGGTAAAACTGTTCATGCTACAAACCAGTGTTTATAATCAAGTCAATACATTAAAATAACACAGTAAAAATACCAGTTTGCCATTTCTGGCAGCATATTAAGCTGTTTTGTACAGCTAAAAATAACTGGAAGCATATGACACCGGAAGCCAGACACATGAAATATACTTTGATACCAGTTATGTCCCCTTAGTACTCTTCCTAGACCATTGGTCTTTGGCATATTTGACACCTTGCCCTGACCACAAAACATCAATTTGGTGACTGCGCCACCTATTGGTCAAACGTGATAAGCTGTTAAATAATAGAACAATTTAGGGGTGGGCGATATGACCAAAATCTTATTTCACAGTATGAGAAATTTTATTTCACGATAACGATATATTTCTCGATATAGCTTTTTTGTTGTTATTAAAAATAAGAAAAAAAAGCTAATTACAAAACACAATAGCACAAATAAATATAAAATAAACTTTTAATTTATTCAGATCACATGCTGTCTGAGAGAGGGGCTTTCAGTGCGCGCGCTTCAGCTGTCAGCCAGCGCGAGCAGCGGTTTGAGTTCTTTTTCAGTGCTTATTTCGCTTAACTTTAAACTTCATGCAAGTCCAAAATTGGTGATCGCATGCTGTCTGAGAGAGGCGTTTTCTCAGTGTGTGTGTGTCAGTCAACGCGAGCACCGCATTTTCTTTTTCACTGTTTATTGCACTTAATAACTATCAAGTGTGTCCCACTCTTTATTTTCTCATTCATGCATGTTTCCTTGGGTGCTTCTCAATTCTTATTTGGCCATCCTCGTTTCCTTTACCTCGCTTCCTTTCCTTGTGTCTTAGCTCCACCCCTTCAGGATCCGAGGGAAGGATGCATGGAAAAGTGAAATGATATATCCTTGCTCCCTTTAGCATCACTTCAAAGCATCATCAGCTGCGCTAAAGGAATCTGCCCTTATGTTGTTAAAGTTTGTTATTTAAGACATTCATAATAAATATTAATAAAGCAAGATGCCCTGTTTGAAATATGACATGTATGGTTTATTTAAACCGCAAACGTAAAATATAAAATATAGCTGCAAGTAGCAATTACGGGGCCAAGCACTAATGAACAAGCATCAGACCAACTGCAGAAATTAGTAATTGAAGCATTTTAGGATGAGTTGAGTCAAAACGGCTAAAAACAATCATAAATACAACCTTTAGTAATATGATTTATTGGCTTATCACGTTTTACCAATAGGTGGCGCTGTTATCAAATCGATGTGGTGTGTTCTTTCTGAGTTGGCAATGGTACACACAAAGTTTGGTGTCAGTATGCCAAAGCATTGCAGAGATACAGCCTCAAGTGACATTTTGGCATCATGCCTCAAATTCGTTGTATGCAAAAACGGTTTTGTCTATCAACACAAAATCCATTACTTTTTTTCAGCATGGTCTGAAGATGATATGATTCGATTTTGGTGAAATAATAGTTTGAAATAATAGGTTTTTAAAGAAAATCAAAATGGCGGTTTGGCTGACTATGGCAACATTGGTATCACTGTTCTCAGCATGACCCAAGGAATCTATTAATACCAGTCTCATTACAATCGGCAAAATTCACAGAAAGCTATTAGCATTTATTTGAAATTTCATTATAACTTTTGACCACAAAGTTTGTCAAATTTGGTGAAAATATTGAAAAAATTGTTTTAGAGTTATATACATTTTTTTATATGAGAACAGAAAAAATTACTGATTGCCAAATTTGTTTGCATTTATTTGCCACTTACTATCAAAATTTTGGCAATTGGGCATTAGCGTATAACCGGCACGCTAAGTTTTTGAATTTCCTACGGTGGTTTCGTGTTGATCAGAGTAACGGTTTCTAAGATATTGGCAAATGTTTTTTAAGTGCTAAAATGTAACGTTGCACAAACCATAAGGGAAAACCTGGCATGTTTGGTATCGCTGGACTCTGCAAGGATTCAGGAGTCTAAAAAGGTGACTACTGTGAAAATAAGTTGACCACACCCAAAGTTATAATCATGAATATTTGATTTTACCTCTAGGTGGCTGGCTCGAAACTTCTCAGACCCCTTCAGGGCATCGTGCTGATGACTCATACCAAGTTTCGTAATGATATGTCATTGTGTTCATAAAATGTAGCATTTTACTACAAAATTCAAAATGGCCAACACCCAAAATGGCTGACATGGGAAAATTGGGTATCAATCGACTCGGCATGATGCACCCAATCTACAGAGACCCGATTTTTGGCCAAACCATTTAGAAGTTATAAGCAAAAATATGCATTTTTCATATCTCCTGACCACTAGGTGGCACAGTGCCAAAACACTGCATGTAGTCTCAGGTCATGCTTGTTATATAACACACACCGAGTTTGGTCTCAATATGCCAAACCGCTGCGGAGATATAGCCTCACATGCATTTTTGAGTGCTTTTCGTCGAATTAGTTTGCGTGTTATTCAAGAACGGTTGAACGAACCAACTTGAATTCCATAACTTTGTGCCAGCATGGTCCGAAAATGACCTGACCTAGGGCTGCACAATTAATCGAATTTCTAATCGCAATTACAATTATGGATGCCACAATTTCGTAATCGTTCAAAGCGGCAATTAATCGTTCAAAGTCCACTTATGTTATTCTGTGTGCCTAAGATGCGTTTTTTTCTTTCTACATTTTATATTAAGGGTTTTTCCCATTATTTTAATTTTAGTTTTAGTGTAACATTTTAATACCATTCATATTTTTACTTTTTTATAATTTAAAGAAGAAACCAATCCGATGTATAGTTGACATTTGAGGCTTAATTTTATAGAAAAGCACAACGTTTTTCAGTTAGAGTGTTTTCAGCTTGTTTATTTTAATTTAAAATAATACGGCATGCAGTTGCATCAAACAATGGTATAAACATCATTCAATGTAAATTGTGATATCGTAATTAATAATGGCAATTACAATTTCAAACCGTCTTGGACGAGTTCGAAAAAGTAGGTTTTACGAACAATTAAAAATAGCAAAAAAAACGAAACCTTACGATTTTTGCATTTGGTTTCCATTCGACTTGACATGAGCCAAGGAATCAGAGGAAAAAATAATTTTCCTTCTTTGCCTTACATGAGTGAAACTTTGGACAAGTGGTGGCTCCAAACTTGCTATGGTTAATGTTGGGACTGTCCTCTATCAGTGTGCCAAATTTCACAACTTTCCCGCAAGCGGTTCTATGGGCTGCCATAGACTTGAGCGGAAGAAGAAAAAAAAGAACGCCAACGGATACTTGTCAGCAGCCATATCACCCTGCAGCCCAAGACTGGCCACCCACTGAAGCTAAGCAAGGTTGAGCCTGGTCAGTACCTGGATGGGAGACCTCCTGGGAAAACTAGGTTGCTGCTGGAAGAGGTGTTAGCGAGGCCAGCAGGGGGTGCTCACCCTGTGGTCTGTGAGTCCTAACGCCCCAGTGATCGGGACACTATACTGACAAAAAGCACCGTCTTTCAGATGAGACGTTAAACCGAGGTCCTGACTCTCTGTGGTCATTAAAAAATCCCAGGATGTCCTTCGAAAAAGAGTAGGGGTGTAACCCCGGCATCCTGGCCAAATTTGCCCACTGACCATCATGGCCTCCTGTCCATCCCCATATCTGCTGATTGGCTTCATCGCTCTGTCTCCTCTCCACCAATAAGCTGGTGTGTGGAGGGCGTTCTGGCGCAACATGGCTGCCGTTGCATCATCCAGGTGGATGCCGCACACTGGTGTTGGATGAGGTGGATTCCCCCATTCTATGTAAAGCGCTTTGAGTGCCCAGAAAAGCACTATATAAATGTAAGGAATTATTATTATAGGAGCCTTCGGTGCTTGGCCCCTAATTAAAATTATGACAGTATTTAATTTAAAATTAATACAACAGATTTAATGTGTGTCACGTTTAGTCAATAAAACACTTCCGCAAAGGATACACCTGTGTATCCTCGCTCATGACTCCTCAGGAAGCCTCCTCGATCCTCGCCTCCTTGTGGTGCAATTATAGAATTGAGATGTCCTACAAGATGGCTGAGCTCGGTCAGTTTCCGGGTCATAGGATGGAGGACGGAGGAGTAAGGAAACGAGGAGGGATATTGAGAAGCACCCCATGTCACTCCAAGGTGTATATAACTTTTAAGTAGTACTATGTTATGCAGATATATTTGCATGCTGCGAAATACACGATATAACACGATAGACACTTTATTCCGCGGTAACGATATATATCGTCATACCGCCCAGCCCAAGAACAATTTATTGTTTATGGTTTTCAACCTTTTTGCCGAAAATCATGTACAAATGTCTAAAATTACTTATTTTTTGTAGTTGGTTTGATGCTCTCTGTCATGCTTGCCTTTTTCTTGTCCCTGTAATTGCTGCCTGCAGCTTGTTTTATTTTTATTTATTTTGAATATAAGATTATAGCTTTGGGCCTGAAGGTCTTACTGAAAAGACTTCGTCTCAAGCTAGAGCAGCAATAATATGGCTTTTATGATGTATTTTTGTCTATATACAGGGCTCGCAAAATTTCTAAATCGCTGGTAGCCCTTCGGGCAGACATTCTTCAGATTTTGGTAGCCCGAATATAAAAAAAAGACATCAGCTGAAATTCACTGCTGACAAATCAGTATGATTAAAAACTTCATTGTTCGCTTTTTTTCTTCAAATAATAAGTCAAGAGAGTAGGGGTGCAACGGATCTCAAAACCCACTGCTCGGATCATATTGCATTATCATATCAGATTTTGAATAACAGATCGGGTCATTTTGCAGATGAGCAAGAAAAACATTGTTCTTTATTATTTAAATAACAGAATACTTCTTTGATACCACAGCAAAAACTAGTAGCATATAGGGATGTAACGATTCACTCAAATTACGATGCAATGCGATTCACGATACTGATTTCACAATACAATTTTCTCACAATTTTTCTTTTTAACAAAATGAGATTTAAGATTTCTTTGTGAAATTGAAATGTCAAATAATAAAACTAACTTAATTTTAAAACAAATCACAAATCAAATAATTAAATACAAAAAAATAAATCTCTTCATATAAACAAACTAAGGCTTTGGCTGTGCTTTTTCCATTTTAAATCGGAGGCAACCACTGCATTTTAATCACGATCAAGACAAAAATGCTAAATACATGTTATTTAGATTGCAATTAGATTGTATAATTTCGAAATTTGAAGCAAAAACAGAATGGTCTGATATTAGCTTTGTGAATGAGCCACAAATGTCACACTCTAACAGCAGGTGGCGCTTATGGAACAGCCCGTATTTATAGGCTGCTGCACGGATCCAATATAATGATGCACTTGAGATTTCTTTCTCCACTGTTTACATTCACTTAAGGCATAACCGACTGTGTTTATGAGAATACTTGCCGAGACCGTTATTTTGAGATAATTTTGTGTGTGTTCATTCATCTGAATGGATGAAATTTCATCTGAAATTTCGCAAGGATATGCGGAAAGAGGAATCGATTCTGTGTACGCGCATTGTCTGAAATGCGGCTCTCTGAGCGTGCTCTGAATGAGTGCGCGCAGCTTCGAAATGCGCTTGAATGGTTTAAAACACTTGAATGTTTAAATCGGCAAGACTTAGAAACGTGCAAACGATCAACTATAATCCGTTTTACCCCTACAAGCTAGTGAACAATGCAAATCAAGGTAGGAATTTTATATAACTGTTAAAGATAGCCCGTCGGGCAGGGTGGTGAAACATTTTGGTAGCCCGACTGTAAAACACAATAGCCCCGGGACGTCGGGCTAGCGATTTTGTTAGCCCTGATATAGTATTTGAAGTTGGAAGGTATTTTAATCCCCCTGCAGTCACTAATTTTATCCCTTAAAATTCTTCTTTGATAATCAAAATGGCATATTTTAATGTTTTTCTCCATGATAATAATTTAATGGCTTAAATATAACTCTACACCCTTACCTCATTTAATAATGCAGACTCATGAATATGCTAAATAATCCTCGCCTCTACTCAGTCACACCAGCTCGGACTAGCTCCACTTTCACTTAAGCCTTGTTCAGACTGTCAGTCCAAATCTGATTTTTGTTCATATCCGATTGGAATCCGATCTAATGATGGACTGTCCACACTGTGTATCGCAACTGCTCAACTCTGATTTGTGTGTCCATGGCGCTCTTTCATTTTACTCAATATCTGCATTGCTTTCTATAGCAATGATGTTGTGTTGGTATGTCTAAGCTAAAAACAATAAGAGCAATACAGTTTGCAATACAGATTTTGTCTTACAACATGACGATATGTTGCCGTCGTGATGGATTATAATAAGGGATAACAATGTTACATCTTATGAGGCAGTGACCGAAAGGTAGGAAGCTGCGTGCGTGGCTTTATTGTCTCCACCGGTATTTGAGGTGGGTAGACTAGCAGTATATTGTTATTTTCTGCCTGACTTGCTATTCGCAACAATACAACCTTGTTTCTGCATTCAGCATGTTCGGCAAGTTTTCTAAAACAACTTCTGATGTGTTTACTTCTTACGTGGTGTGAGAATGTGAAAAAGCAACGCAAATTCCAAACTGAGCGGTCAGACAAACACATTTCCAAAAATTCAGTTTGAATAGGATTTCAAAGCACATATGAATGTAGCTCGAAACTGATTTGCAAAAATCGAATTTCATGTAGTTCGTTGCTCTTCAGACTATCTAAATATGATCAACATCCTTAGGTGGAGATGCTTTGAATAGCATAGAAAGACAATGGAGATAATGATATGAAAAGCCCCATCCCATTAAGTTGATCGGATTGGTTACATGTTTATGAAGGTAGGAAACTAACACCGTTTAAAACCACGTTTTTGAGACTGTATTTGGTACACTGCAGTTTTAAGGAGAAAATGCTCAGTAATGGTGTTGCGTTTGCACATGGTATGTCTTTCAGCATATTAAAAACACCAAAAAGACATGTGAACAATGTTCAAAAGGTATGATATTTTAAGCCAACTACAGGGCAGGAAAAATAACAACTAGATGATTAAAGCTCGTGAACGAACTTTGAAGTTGGCTTGAAAAAGCCTTGACTGGAAGTTTGAAGCAGTTGTATAAGCTTGAAGTTTGATAGATTAGTTAGATGTTACTAACTTGTTTAGCATGTTTCCTAAAAAGAATAGCTTGTTTCTAGCATGATTAACATGTTGGTAACATGATTTTAACATGATTAGAATGTTGCTAACATGTTGCTACAGTGGGGGAAATATTTATTTGATCCCCTGCTGATTTTGTACATTTGCCCACTTACAAAGACGGTAGGTTTATTTTAACGTATAGAGACAGAATACCAACCAAAAAATCCAGAAAAAAACATTATATAAAGGTTAGAAACTGATTTGCATTTCAGTGAGTGAAATAAGTATTGGATCCCCAAGCAAAACATGACTTGGTACTTGGTGCCGAAAACCTTGTTGGCAAGCACAGAGGTAAGACGTGTTTTGTAGTTGGTCACCAGGTTTGCACACATCTCAGGAGGGATTTTGATCCACTCCTCTTTACAGATCCTCTCTAGATCCTTAAGGTTTCTTGGCTGTCGTTTGGCAACTCGAAGTTTCAGCTCCATCCACAGATTTTCTATAGGATTGAGGTCTGGAGACTGGCTAGGCCACTCCATGGCCTTAATGTGCTTCTTCCTGAGCCACTCCTTTGTTGCCTTGGCGGTATGCTGGAAGACCCATCCATGACCCTTCTTCAGTGTTCTGGCTGAGGTTCTCATCCAAGATTTTACAGTACATGGCCCCATCCATTTGCCCCTCAATGTGGTGAAGTTGTCCTGAACCCTTAGCAGAAAAACAGCCCCAAAGCATAATGTTTCCACCTCTGTGCTTGATTGTAGGGATGGTGTTTTTGGGGTAATTTCTCTCCCTCCAAACACGGTGAGTCGAGTTTATGCCAAAGAGCTCAATTTTAGTCTCATCTGACCACAGCACTTTCTCCCAAGCCTTCTCTGAATCATTTAGATGTTCTTTGTTAAACTTTAAACTGGCCTGTACATGTGCCTTCTTGAGCAGGGGGACCTCGCGGGCACTGCTGGATTTCAGTCCATT